TGGGATTCCCATACGCCTTCTCCCCGAAAAAGCGATGACAATTCTTTGTACTAATCTACAGCTATACCTAACAAAGAACTTCCGCTTTTACACTTTACTGATCGAAAGCTCTCTATGTTTGATATTTCCGTCGATTTATGTTTTGTACAACAAAAATAGAGAAAGTAAAAAGATCATCAGTCCTTTGAAAAGAAGGAAAAAAAAAATATTTAAACAAAGGAGAAAAGGAGATGGATATATAATATTTAAATATATATTTCTTTTAATTTGCCTAGGACCGGGAATCAAAATTTTATCTGCGGGCTGGATAGAGCCTTACCGCGGGTCGTAGTTTGCCTATCCCTAGTTTAGAATATTAATTAAATATTAATTTAAAATATTACATAAAAAACTTTTGAAAGTTAATATTTTAATAAATTCTAAGTATGATAGTAAAATTGTGTATTAATAGCAGCGGATTGATCAGAAAGTCATGCTGTATTTTTACTATGTTTTTCAAAGGTGATTCATTCCTATAATAATAAGAATTCAATCAATAATGTATTAGCCATTTTGTTCGATGACCTTTTTCCATCGTTCCACAAGGTTCATAATTCCACACTGGTAGAATGATTCGTCTTTAGGAGCAAAAAACGGTACTAGGTGACGATTTATAACACCATCGGAATCAAAAGTTTTTATGATTCAAGGAATTCTGCAAAGAGCAAAACATGCTAATCTGAAGGTGCAAGATCAGGTGAGTACAGTGGGTGGGGCAACACATCCCAAACAAGCTCAAACAGCTTTTGGTAGGTAGCCAAACTCGCGTGTGATCTTGCCTCTACGTTTCATGAGTTCTGGCCGATTTTGATTGATTGCATTGTTCAACTGCTGACAATACATGGCTGAATTAATCGTCCGATTCCTTGGTAAGAGCTCGAAATGCACAACACCTTTGAAATCCCACCAAACTGGCAGCATGACTTTTTTCTGGTGAATGTTCACTTTGGACATGGATGGAGTTGGTTCATCAAACTATTTCCAAGACCGCTTGCATGTAACGTTCCTGTACACAATCCATTTCTCATCACCATTGACCCTATGCTTCAGAAAGGGTCATTTTCTTCTCGTTTAAGAAAGGAAGGGAATGGCAGATGTTAAAATGCTTCACCAAATGGATCTCCTTCAGCTCACGAGGAACACAAACTTCAAGCTTGCTTACGAATCTGAGCTTCTTTAAATGGTCATGAATGGTTCATTGAGCAATGTGTAGTGCCTCTGCAATTTCTCGTGTCGTGTACCACGAGTTAGACTTAACCACTGCCTTTATTTCGTCATCGACAGCCTCCAATGGTCTTCATGTCTGAGGTGCATCATTCACAACAAAATCACCAGACGGATTTTCGCAAATCAGTGCTGGCACTACGTGTCGTTAGAACATCGCTCCCATAAACTTTACGGAACTTTTCACAAGCTTCACATTCTTGCCTTTGCGGAAATAAAAAAGCAAAATATAGCAAAAACTAACAGTTTTCCCCTACATTTTCAACTCCGTATAAAATCTATCCAACTCATTCGAATCGAACAATTTTCTGTTTATTGAATAGGTTAGAAGTGTGACCTTATATAGCAGGGTTGGCCAAACTTCATGTCGGTAAGAGCCGCACGTTTGAATTCAGGAATGTTCGAGAGCCGCATCTAGATTTTCTAAAAGCCACAAGTTCATATTTACATCAATATAGAAGTAGTGGAGGAGGTTTTAAATAGAAAATACCTGATAACTTTGTAAAAAGAGTCTAAACTAATTAGGTACAACTCTAATATACACCCTAATTTCACCAAATGTGGCGATATGTGTTCTGCGGTGGTTTTTTGGCATGATTGCGTGTTCTATGGCAACCCTGTTGACGTTGAGAAATCTTTCGCTGGAGCTCGTTGATTCGCCTCTGTGCCTGAGAAGATGGGAGGGAAAGATAAAATGGTAGTTGTTGAATTGAAGTTCGGCAAAAGGAAATATCATTGTGGCTATCCTGTTGAGGGGTAGTGGGTATTTGGAAGTGTGGAAAGAGAGTCTGGGAGATTATTTTTAATGGCAGTGCATGATAGAAGTAGGGATTTGTGATTTTATTTATTTGTGAACCATAGTATAAATTTTCTGGATAGTGTGTCTAGCTGTCATGCAAATACGATAGTGATTACGTGGCGGCATGTTAAAGGTGGTATGAAATTTATATTTCTGCTATTCGAAAACGCATTAATTCATGGTAAGTGCATTTTATTTTATCCTATGTTCTTATTTTGTAGAATGTTATGTTCATTGGTTCTTTAGTATGAATTTCTGTCGTTATTGGTTGTTTTTTGAAATTGTTTGAAATTTATTTTAGTTTATTTTGTAGATTAGTGCATAGTGCCTAGACTTGCAATTCGTAGATGTTTTTTAAAGTTGAAACAGAATGCTGTGTACATGGTATTATTTGAAATTTATTGTTGTTATGTTATTTTATTCAAGCGAGGAGTGCGTAGATCGTAGATTCCTTCCTTGCCTAAATTGTGCAATTCGTAGAATTTTTTTTAAGTTTAAACAGGATGCTGTGTACATGGTATTCTTTGAAATTTATTGTTGTTATGTTAATTTATTAAAGTGAGGTGTGCGTAGTTTGTAGATTCGTTTGTTGCCTACATTGTGCCATTCGTAGATGTTTCTTTAAGTTAAAACATGTCGCCGTGTACATGGATTCTTGTCAAATATTTTTGGTTAGAAACTTTACGTTTTTGCTATCTAAATTTTTTGTTTTTGTTTCGGATTTTTAGCTAAATTGTATGTTGAAAACGTAGTTTTTGCATGTGCGAAAACCGCGTTTTTGGAGACATTTTAGGCTAAAAGTTCGAAATGTAGACAAAAAATTTAGATAGTAATATGGCAGCGTGAAGTTTCTCGCCAAAAATATTTGGCGCGAAATTTGGCGACTTGAGGGCGCATATAAGAGTAGTTCCACTAATTAATTACTTCTTTTTGGACACTGAATAGTTTTAGTTTACCATATTTCATACATATATTTTATATGCACGAGCTACACAAATTGCCTACGAGAGCCATATCAAGCTCGCAAGCCGCACTTTGGCCACCCCTGTTACATAGCATTTCAGTGAGGTGTGTGCGCATGATGTTTCTACTCCAATAAATGCACATCTGTCAGCAAAATACGATATGACTTTCCGACCAACTCAATAGTAGATTCAAAGTATCAAAATTGTACAACTTGCATACATATTATTTCCATCATAAATTAAATTTTTGTTTATATATCTTTCTCACTTATACAACAGTCGTAAACAGTCCCTAAAAGACATATAAACAGTGCTCCACTGTATTTCATATTTTAAGTTTTATAATTCATACATATCTTAGTAGATTTAAATTAAACTAAAATCCGGCAATTTCGGACTTTGTTCTGCATAAATTATGTCTCAGAATTTTACTTTAGGTATTCTAAAATATTAATTCACAGAAAGATGTTCAGGGCTTTTGGTAAACAGTCAGATGGTCCATGGAACAGAAAAGGTTAACAATCCCTGGTTTGAACTGAAATCTAACATCTCGTTGGCTATATTAAATCTGTAAAACATTCACCATGGCAAACTTAGATACTCAGGAACTCAACTTAACTTTAGATACTCAGGAACACACAACAGAAAATATAGTCTTAGAAAGACATAGCAAACACATGACAACAACTCTGAATAGTCTTGAAAGATTAACTTCTATTTTAAAACTAGATATCTGCATAACTTTTTGCCCTGAGTGACAATTGGGATAAGATATATACATATGTAGATTAAGATAAACAATTATAAAAATGATTTTCATTAAAAAAATTGAATTGCATTGGAAAATGAAAATTTTAACTTTGTGATATAACTGCACATCACAATATAGCTGCAATATCTGCCACAATACGTTTAAAAAAATTAATCAAAAATAATTTCTCTTATTTTAGAGATGGAAGAAAATTGTGCTGATCTTTTCTACCAAAGTAGATTTCTTAATGTTTCATAGGTATAAACAGCAATACACAAGATAGTCAAAATTCCTTACACACATTCAAAATAAAAATAATTACTGCACATAAAAATATGAAAAATACTGCAATTCTCCCCACTTTTTAAATGACTTATCTTACAAAAGAAATATAATTTAAGAGTTTTCAAATACAAAAAACAAATTGTTCATGAAATTACACTCATATAAGAAATATAATCTATTGCATAGCTATGATATTTGCTAACACATTAAGTCAAAGAAGTCAGTCATACGCTTCAATTTAACAATACTCAATGTTGCATGAAAATTTTGATAATTCACATTTAGTTTTCTTCTAATGCTTTTAATCTGTCCAATGTCTGGCTTTTAATCTTAGAAACGTTTTTGATTTTAAAGCCAATGTAGAAAAATTGCTAGAAAGATATTTTCTATTTAAAAATAATGCTAAAATGTTATTACAATTCATTTAAAATATGTTTCTATTTTTTTTGTATATTCTTATAAAAATTTTCAATATGAAAATTAAATATACAGTAAAACAGGTAGAATTTTGTCATCATGGGATCAATTATTAAAATACATTAACTAGTTCTTAATTAATTAACTTTTTCACAGATAAAGTACACTTAAGATTACATAATAGTAAATCTTTTCCAATGAAAAATATATTTGCTCAAGTGCACAATGTCACCTCTATTAAGTTTAGCTTTCACACATTTTATTGACAAATTATTATATAAACATTCATTTTCATTTCAAAAAACTGTATCAGTTACAGTAACTTTTCAAAAAGTGTATCACTATAATGTAATCTTGGAGATAATTAAATTATTTAAATAGCATAAATGCTAAATATTGTAAATTTTTATACAAACGAATAACGGGTTCATCACTGACTGCTTCAATTTTAGGATTATATTATAAATACTAGCATTGTGAAAGTTGTTTTCATAATACTGAAACTTTGATTAAAATAAACCTTTTTGACATAGGTTGTAGCATCTTCTTCTGAATATGTTTCTGCACTAACAGCTCCTCGTCGAACTCTCTGAGCTGGTGCCATGTTGGGAGTACCACATATGTCATCATCCCTTTCATCACATGGACTTGTAGCATTCAAATTCTTTTGCTGATTCTTAGCTGAAGCTGCAGCCTCCTACCAAAAAAAAGTAAGTGATACGATTAACATAAGTCAATACTGATTAACTACTGAGAACGTTATATAAACATAGTTGAACTGAATATGCTGATAATAAAAAGGAATTAAAACTTGGGCGATTTAAATAGCGAAAACGGAAAACAACTCTGAGCTGTGATGAAAAGAAAAAATTTAAATACCTAAATTATTCTATAGCTTGAAGCATATCTTTCTACCAGTATACGTTTGACATATATGGTGACACTTTTAATCACCGTTATAAAAACAGAAAAAAAAAATCTTGATAGATTCGGTAAGTAACAATCGTATATATTTATTTCCAACATATTAAAATTAGAAAATACGGAAATGTAATGATTCCATACGGTAGAAAACATTTATCTCCACAATATCCTATCAACATTTAAAAAACGTTACCATATCAGGAGTGAATGATAAGTCACTCATTACTCTTCATTTCTTCGAAGTAAATGATATTTTCATGAGCAAAAGATTAACATATTAATGTATTTATAAGAATATTTACATAATAATGTTTTAAAATATGAAAGGTCAAAAAAGGTACCTGCATGAAAACACTCAAAACAATGTGAAAATGTAGACTGACTTATGTTAAGCCTATTTCTTAACACAACGTTAAAATCTTACCCTTTCCAACTTCTGAAAATATTCCCTAAGAAAGGAAACTGGATTTTCTGGGCGTCTTACACATAACTGAACTATACAATCTTTTAATAATCTCTGAATGTTATGGCGTTGAACGTAAGCTTCACATTCTCTTAAGCTTTGCTCTTCGTCACTGCTATGAGACGCCATCTTAACTGTTTTGCTTACCATAGAACGGTTGTGATTGACCGACTGCTTCGACCGGAACTCTGAACTCGCAGTTTGGTGACGTCAGACACTGCTTTATCCTTTCGGTTCTTTCGGCGGTTCACATTCAATTTCAAAATCGGGAGCTTAACAAAAGTTCTCCCTTTTTTCCAGGTTCTCCTGCCTTTAAGCTCCGCAGAGAGATCAGGAGTCGCAGCAGGCCAAAGTGCGATAGCTATTTTCGTAGCTAACCTCGGGAGATATTTTTGTGAATTTTATATTTTGGAAAGCGTCCAAAGAACAGTTGTAACATATTTTTGGAATAGCGGCGGATAATCTCAATTTTCTCTGGCTTTCATTTCCAAATTGCTTTGAGTCTCTTTCACGCTTTTTGCTTTTAGTAATAAATCTCTTTTCGATGCTGGTAATCGAAATTTAGGGAACTTGGACTGTGTTTTGTGCTAGCTATAAATAGCATTTAAAGACAAGATTGGGAGAAAAGAGCTACGCATTGCGTCAAAACTGAGTTCTCAGAACGTACGACAAGCGTAACATGTAAGATTTTAGACAATGAAATAACAATAAATTTCATACATCAAAGAACAGGTTAAAGTTGAGTTTTATACCATCTTGTGTAATGAAAAACGGATATAAATTGTTATCAAAGACTAGAGGGAAAAAAAAGCATCGTATAGAAAATATTACGTTAATATTACATAAATATTTGAAACGTTTTGGCTTTAAAAAGAAAAGGAATGAAAGCAATTTTTTATGTATTTAAATTATTTTACTAAACAAATACTTATTAGTATTTGTATACTCTATTGGAAGGCACCATGCTAAGCTTTGGGATTTCAAGCAGTTAAATTCCATTTTTGAATATATATAACAAGCAAAAATCATTAAAGGATAAATGCTTATTCAAATAAAATGTGAAACATGAAATATTTACATCTGAAATTTATTCGCAAATTATTCAAATTTGCGAATAGAAAGACTTAGCCTTCCCCACTAATTCCTCGTTCTTACAAGATTCTTTACTTTTAATTTTATTCTTTCTTTTCTTTTACGTAGAAAAACATAAAAGTTTAAAAAAAAAAAAAAAAAAAAAAATTACTCTGGAAACATCTAGTAAACTTACACTTCAAGAAAGAGTTTGCTCTGAAATATGAAAATAAAAATAATAAAAAGGGGATTAAAAGTATTAAAAAATTTTTAATTCGATCTCCGCTTTCAGAATTCAATTTAACATTTGAAACGGTTCTAAACTAATCAACTACGTTAGGTCTACTAGTTTAAGAATTACTCAAGAGAAATTCAACATATACATACAATATAATTTAACAAATTATTTGTTAAATTCATATATCATTCCTTGCACCATTGACGCAAGAAAATTATTTAATTTTATTTAATTTTACTAATTAGTTTCTAATGAAAACTATTTTTCGAAACAATTTCTGGGTTGCTAAAACAAAATTTACGTAGTGAATAAAACATTCTTCCGTGTAGTATAAAAGGACTAAAGTTTAAACATGTAAAAAATTAGTATTCCAAAATAAATATTTATATCACTTCATTAAAATTTTTCAAGACAGGTACGTTTTTGAAAGACAGGTATGTTTTGGACCACTTTGCTCCCGTAATCTGCACCGGAATGAATCGGATTATTTAACTAAGGCAAACAACACATTCATCTGCTTAAGCTTTTTCCCAGTCTACTTAAGCATTTTTATACAAATCCATATACCTGAACTTTTTTCCAGTTCTGACCGAGGCCCATGAACGATGGAAACGAAGCTCTTGCACCCTTTTTTCTCTCTTATTAAGAACATCCCAAGAAGACTTTTTGACTCGGATGATTTTAAGTACCCCCACATGCAAAAAAAATTACAGTAATAAACTTCTTTGCTTTACCATGGATTTCGAACTCGGACAAAAGGCTGAGGATTCGTGAACCTGCGCTAATTACTTTAGGGAGGGCTAAAATTTGCACTAAAAAGCTTTCTTTACACGAAAAGATTTTTTAAAAAATAGAAGAGTTAATGAAACTCTTTTTTTTTTCAATATGTCATAACATTTCTACAGTAAGCCAAATTATATTTAAAAAAGAATAATAATTAGTTTGGTTTTTATACTACGGGAAAGCGGTAAAGAATGTAAGACGCACATTAATAGTTTCACCGCATTTTGGCAAAAATGTGTATAATGAGATTGACGAATGGAAATTTTACTACTGAATGATATGTATAAGTAATAGGGCACATACATCATTTTCATTCTTTTGGTTTTACAAGAATTTCTCAAGCAAGAAAATTGTATTTTTTATAAAGTATTGGAATAAAAATTAAAATCTGAAAGTGTTCCGATTTTAAAGGTCGCCCAAAACAGCTGTTTTAAGTATAATATTGTTTATCGGTAGAGGTGCCGCCCAACCGGTATAATGGTTAGAGTCGCTGACTGCCGTGTCGAAAGGCCCGGGTTCGAATCCCGGAGAAGGCATGGATATTTGTAAATGTATAGTGTCAGTGCGGCATGGGGGCACTCTAAATATGCGGCGAGCCGAAAGTCCTCTCGTGTGGTTTGGTGGAAGGGGAGAGGGGTGGAGTTAAATCGGACCCGTCCCCCCCCCGGGATGCTCTCCATCAAAATTGTGCAGGGAATTGAGTTAAATTGAGTTAGTCACCCGAAAGGTGCTCAAGGCTGTTGCCAGCAGCAGGCGTAATTTAGCGCTCCTGAATAATGACGGACTTCGTTCTATGAAAAAGAAATCCGTCAGAAACCAGGATTTGGGAAAAGTAAAAATGTTACGCAGAAGTTTTAAAAGAATTTAATTAAACATTAAGGAATGAGTTTACTTACGTGACTCGTAAGCAAGCCAACATTTAAAGTAAATTTAATTGTTTTAATAAACAAGATTACTCCCTGATATATTTTAGACTAATAAACTGCTCAACCGACACCAAACTTTTTCGTGTTAAAAGAGAGACAAAACTGCACTTTTTTAAGAATATATTTCACAAATTTTTAATACGCCCATCGTTGCTAACATGAGTTTATGGGAAAAAAAAAAAAAAAAAAAAAAAAAAAAAAAAAAAAACAGAAGGCTATTTGCCTAAATTCAGGAATGGCTACGTGGAGAAATTTTTAAGGGAAACTGGTTCATAGCGACTTTACGTAAGGTAAAACCACGAAAACTTGCATGCAACCGCACCGTTGACCGGGATTCGAATCCGGCTCGAACTACCAGTGTCCAGCGCTCTTGTTATGTATTAATCGTTTTATTTTCAAGCTTATGTTTTGCTTATTATTTCAGTTTTGATTGTTAAAATGTAAATTATTCATACTATTTGCTCATTAATAAACGTTAGATTGATTTTATCTACTTAGCCTTGTAATTATTGTAGTTAATTCCTTACACTGGACCTTAGTCATAGAATGGGTTTAGCATACACAACGCAAATTCCTGAAATTTAAAATTGTTTGCATATTTTTTTTGGTACTTTTCCGTTTTGCCGGCGCAAGCGATAAAGTTGCCAATAATGGTACAACCGATGCCAAACGGAATATTCTCGCTGGTAACCTTTTACGCCTCATTTTCAAAACAAGTCGCAGCTTTTTCTTATCAGATTGATTGTTTTTTTCAATACTGGCATATAATTGCATAGAATTTTATCAGATAGTTCAGCTTTATGTCTAAGGCCATTTTTCGGTAATTAAGTCAATTAGAATGCAATCACAGTGCTTACCTGAAGCCGAAAATATAGAAAAGGTAAAGTCAAGGTTAAATTCAATTCTAATGAGAATGCATTAGCGAAGTAAAGCACTGCAGTTTACATAATTTCTTCTGAGTAACTATTCGTACGAATTGAAATAGTTCTTGCATATAAACTTGTGTTCCAAATTAAGATTTAACTTGAAATTAATGTAGATAATTACTGAGAGCATTAGAATTTTGTAGAGTAGTTTACGTGAGATGAGATCGCTTGGGGTCACGTGATATGAACCGGCGAATCAGGATTGGAACCATGAAAGCATAGTAAATTCTTAAATTAATGTTTTTTTACAAATTTTTTGTCTTTATTTATTGGTTTTTTATAAAATTTTAAGCGATATTAAAATGTTTATGCTTCAAAAAAAAGAATTCTTAAAACTACATTTTTTAAATATTTTTTATGTGTATACTGTATGTTGTCGCCAATAAAGTCTGCTTGGCGAGATTTGCGCCGGCGAAACGGAAAAGTACCTTTTTTTTTATAATTTTTTTTTTTTTTTTGTGTGTGTGTTGTGTGTGTTACACTGTGATAACTACTCATCTCCTATGTTATGTGATTGATACAATATTGGTTGAAATGTTCTGTTATGTTACCCATATACATACAGTTACCTACCACATAATCTGGTATGAACATTGATAATAGTAATTACACAGTAATGATGTTCAGCAGTAAATAATACGTATGAAATTATATTATGCTATAATGATATAACACTCTTATCACTGGGCCCCAAATGAACTGTTGCTAACATATTGATGGACTGTCGCTAATCCCGATAAGTATGTAGTATGCTATATCATTCTATCAAGATAGTTCAGAGCTACAATATCAGTGATCCGGTTGCGAGGATACTTAGTGGGGAGCGATAACATAAACACAGTATCCCACAAGAAAAAAATCATTTGCGATTAAATCCGAAAACTAGATGGCACTGCATTACCCCATCGTGTCTTCCTATCCACCTTCGCAAATTTTGGTTGAGATACTTATGCAAATAACCTTGATAATATCTCTGAGTTAGTAAGCCTTGGTGAAAGAAGTACGGTAGGCGCCACTTAATGTGATCACGTTTGTCCATAAATATTTTGATAAGATTAACCGAATAGTAGCCTTAAACGACGAGGGAAAATATACTTCAAAACAGGAGATGAATATAACCAAAAGCATATGAATTACTTTCATAGCATTTTAATTTGGAAGAAAATCATTAACAGTTGATTGTCTGGAATTCTTACGCAATAGTTCATTTTTTGAACTGTTCATAATGTTTCTGGAAATTATTTGACCGATTCCGTATATCTAATCTAAATAGTCATAGAGAAACCCTTCAATTGTAGGAAATCCATCGATTTCGTCACTGTCTTCTAGAGAAAGTTTATCAAATCCTGTGCTTGGATTTGTTTTAGAAAGCGACTGGCAGATATCGTCTTCTGTCACTGAATCTACAGCTTGAGGTTTTTCATTAATATCCATCCATCCAAGCTTTGAATTCATCACAAGTCATGTTAGTTTGAGACATTTTTAATTCTTCATCAACTATTATTTGATGGCTTATTAAAAGTCTGACATGCTTAAAACAGTTC